GAAAGTGAAAGTGAAAGTGAAAGTGAAAGTGAAAGTGAAAGTGAAAGTGAAAGTGAAAGTGAAAGTGAAAGTGAAAGTGAAAGTGAAAGTGAAAGCTCTTTTGATGCTGTGTGGCCACATTTTTGTCTTTGTAAACCGTGACGAGGGGCGAAGCTGTCCTTCGTGAAAATGTCCGGTTGATCTAGTCGGTTATGATGCAGACCTAATACAAGCAATCGGTTATTTAGTCTGATGTCGGCGGTTCGATCCCGCCACTGGACACTACGCTTTTTGCCACACTGTACACATGATGCACACGCTTCCTTTGCCTTCCGTACAGTAGAAGCTCTTGTGATCCTTTTGCGCGCGAAGAACGGTCCCTGTAGCCCCCCAAAAAATCTCAGTGTGCCATTGTCCAGTCTACCCCTCGCCCCTTTCGCTTTTCGTCGAATCCCTCGTACGGCACAAGCGGTGCCCCAGAACTAACGACGCGCGGATCCGGAGATCTCAAGTCCGCGGGCGAGCTGAACTGATCTGCCTGGTCTTGGCTGGTGAGGACGCAAGCGCCTATGAGTCTTGTTCAAGTGATAAAGAAAGTTGCATCATCACCTCATCGAGTGACGCTGCTCTGCAATAGCTTACGCCCGAGCTCCCACTGGAGTCGCCGGCTGGTTACCCGCCGAATTCACAAAGCCCATTGCTCAATCAGGCGAGCTACGCCAGGTATGAGCCAGCGATACTTTGAAGCAGCGTTCCAACTTGAGTGCCAATCCCTTTCGAGCCGATCACGTCAGATTCTGGCTCCTCTGGCTCCTCGGATAAACTTGAGGTGGGACGACAGTCGTTAAATTATGCAGACGAATGACCGTTTCCAACGGCGTTCGGCCGTTGGTCATTGACAAGCAACAGAAATGCTGTTTGTTGATACACTGAATGGAGACGACACGAGACCCCAAGTTCAAAGGACCGAGGCGCGGCGCCTTGGCCAAAAAGCTTTAGCTGGATGAGACCGATGTCAATCGCAAGGTGTCATTTCGTCTATCAGCAATAAAGCTGCTCTAGTCAGACTTTGAGCTAAGCATGCAAAGCAAGGACTGAAATCCAACGATTGTGTCGCAGTGTGTGTTGCAGGAGGCGTAGGGCTCGAAAGCTGCAGGCTTTTCCGAACCCTTCTGCTGCCACACGTCCTGATTTTCCTGGTCAAGTAGCCGGGACCGTCAATAGCGCGTGCAATGATAAAAGGCATGACCTTGCAATGAACCAAACATGATTACTATTAATCCATGCGAGCTTTGAGCCATCGCTTCGTCACTTTGTCCTGCGAGGGAATGATTTTGTGAGCGCCAGAGCGATGGCAGCTCGCCACATTCGACTCACCTTTTCGATGATCCACACGACTGCGCCCCAACCAGAGTAAGCATCGCGATCGACGGCGTTCAATAGAGTCTGTGAGATTGTCTCGAACAGATCTTGTGGTTCGAGATCTGGTTCCCATAGGGATTCTGCCATGCCAAACAACTTCTCTGATGCTGTGCCACTAACAACAAAGTCCTGTGAAATTGACAAAGTCAGCCACAAGCTGGAGCCAGGTCGGTCTGAGACACGCACTTTCGCGAAGTTGATGCAGCCGACGAGATCCATAGCGCAGATGAAGGGCTCATCTTTGACGTTGATGCCTGAGTTCAAGCTTGTCAGAGGGAAACGCACCGATGCAAACGGTTTTCGCTTGCAGACCTACCTGCGACAACGGGCTCGACGTAGTATGGACCAAATCTGTCATGACGCCGTCAGCACCCGGGCCTGACTTGGAGCAGCTCGCCAGATACTCACCTTCTCTCGTATAGAGTGCTACTGACCAACTCTGCAAATGTCTCTGGTTCGATCGTTCGCTCCTCCTTCATTGCGTACAGGTTGACTCGTTGACGCAACTTGTCTTTGACCGTGAACGTGTCTGAAGCCAGACCTGGCAGTCCAAAATATGTTCGTTGTGTTGCTGGAAACACCTGCAACACAAAATGGCGGCCGACCGATGACCGTGTCAGTGAGTTGCGGTGAATGGTGCCTGTGCGATGGCTTTGACGAACCTTTTCGTGGTTGCAGGCGACCGTCAACGCTTGGTTACCTAATCGAAGATCGCATGCAATCGCTACACAGTCCTTGCCAACCATGGCTACGCAACTCCCCTGGACAGCACATCACAGGCGAGCCGCAGGCAACGCGTCAGCGGTCGATGTCCACACCATCATATGAGCTCGCGCGCCATCACGAGGACTCGTAATCTTCCAGTAAGAGCGCGACTGACCCCATTCAACTCCATGATCGACTGCAGCAAACGTTGACGAGGCGAGGGCCGACGTCAGCCAACAGCGTCGTCATGCTTAACAAAACCGTCAGACACACGTACCATGTTGGGCACGAATCACTCTGGTTTCGTTTCAAGCAATCCTTCAATGCGCACTCGGGCGCAAATGTGGTGGTTCAAAGTTCGCAAAGGTAATGGGCGAAGTGTGACAAGTTGGGATCTGCACTAGCTCGGGGGTTTCGTTTGCCCAAGCGGACGCAAAGAGCATTACAACACCAGCAATACACTACTTTCCAAACATGTCTTCCTGATCGCTATTGCCTTCGTCCATGACATCGCTCGAGTCCGACGGCAGCACCACCGTTTCGGCAATCCCGACAGCCTCGCCATCAACGTCTTCGTCCTCGATAGCAGCTCCATCAATATCACCGTCCTCGATAGATACTCCATCCACCTCTTCCCCGTCCAATTCAGTTGCAGGTGCTCCGTCAACATTGTCATCAACGGCCTGTCCATCGACCCCATCCCCGTCAAAAGCCTGTCCGTCGACCCCATCCCCGTCAATAGCCTGTCCGTCGACGGCCTCGCCATCAACATCATCCACGTCTTGCGTCGAAGGGTGAAATGCCGTCTTGAAACCCCCGGGCTGGAAAGTCGTTTTGAATCCGCCTCGGGCACCGGAAGCAGCGGGTTGCTCTGGTTCGTTCGCCTCAGCGGTCAAATGAACCTGGGCTCGAACCTCCTCCTGCTCATTGAGCCAGGCTTCAGCAGCAGCCACTTGCTCTTCCACTTCATTCATAGCCTGCTCGTCAGCTCCAGACAGCCTTCGTCTCCAATCTTCGATCGTGGCTGGTTCAAAGATCATCCAATCGTGTTCCCATACGTCAATAACCTTTTGAACGGGACAACGTTAGCTGCTGTCCCTAGCAGATATTCGCTTAGAAGGAATGCTCCTTACCTTGGATATCTGACCCTTGAATTGCTCCGCCTTCATTCGCCCAGGAAACGAATTGTAGATGTCTCCAAGATGGTCAAACACTTCGGGCAGCTTGGACTCGAAGATCGATCGGTACACCCATGCGTTCGGCAATGACGTCGAGGAGTTGTGTAGGATGTCACTGACAAGATGCAACCGAGCCAACTTGCGAGGCACCGGTGTCTCTTCAATCGTCAACGAGCACACGAGTAAGTCGGCAATCTGCTCATGTAATCAGCATCCAGCCCTAAACGTGCAGCGGTTCAGAGCTTACCAGTTGGGCCGAGTCTGCGTGCTCGAGAGCAAAGGCCATACCGCGAGCAATCTTCTCCCTCGTCGAGGTCAAGCAGCGCAACAACGACTCGAACCGTGTTTGAGCCAGTCGCCCTAATCGCCCTTTTGCCATGCTTTCACGCTCAGAATCTTCATCCGAATCAGACGAATAGACTCCAGCTTGACCCTGTAGCGAAGTCATGTCAGCACTAGCTATCAAAGGAGGCCAGAGAACGTGGAACCGCTATCAAAGGAGGCCAGAGAACGTGGAACCTCACCTCGTCGGCGAATGTAGTGGCAGGCGGTGCCTCGTATCGGGAGTCAAGTAGCATGCGGAAGTAATGATACGACGGAAGCTGGAAAATAGTGAGTGAGCCATGCGCCCTAGGTCTGCCGCCTGCATCTGAGACTGACCTTTGAGTCTCGGAAAAATGCAAACTTTGGATTCGTCTTTTCTCTGTCTCGCAGCATATCCTCGAACGCTCGACCATGCTCTCGTATCCGCGATACAATGCTTTTGATAAAGTGTTCTTCGACACCCGACTCCAATTGAGGCCAAGCACGCCGAGGCGGCGAACGAGGTCTTGGTGATCGGGACCTCGATCGCGAGTCGTCCGAGTACGACGACCGTCGTCTCCTCCGCCGAGGTGAAGGCGATCGCGACCTGTCTCGATCAAACGAACGTGACCTTCGTCGTCTATCCCGTGCGCGTGCGCTTCGACTGCTAGCTCCTTCGACCTCTGCTCAGACGAGGGCATCAGCAAGCCGTGGCGAGAGCGGCAGAAATCCGCGAGGCTCACCGTATATCGGCCTCGCAGGCAGAGGCACCGCTTTGCCCCATCCGAGCCTGAGCACGTTGCCACCCCATTCAGCTCCTTCGAGCTCCTGCATTGCCTTTTCGGCGTCAGGTCGACGCAGAAAAGCGACAAAACCACCAAGATGACGGCTACCACCACGCGCAGTGAACGGAATGTTGTCTACTCGGGGCCACATGATCTGCCAAGCCATGTACAAGAGCCAGTCAGCTTCCGAGCCAATTGCAAAGCCACAGAGCTGCGCTCACTTTGACACTGCCAACCGGCCCATATTCGGCGAAAAACAAACCCAAACTTTGCTCATTGACATTTTCTGGAAGAGGTGCGACGTGTATATTGGTCGTGGTTGGGTCGCCCGAGTCGTAAGAGCCGGTGACTACAGGAGCGTGCTCGCGCGCTGACGACGACCGTGGCAAAGTCAGCGGGCAGTCAAGCGTGATCACCTGAAACTTGGTAGCCCACCAGCGAGAGCAGTGACCGAAGTTCCAGCTGCAAGAAAAACATCAATCACCCGTTAAAGCGAAAGTCGAGCCAAATCGCCAAGAGCTTGCCTCGGTCTGCGTGTCGTTTGAGCCTATCTTCACGTTCTCTTTGTTCTCTGCACAGGCGAACGCGCGCAGACAAACAAAAACGTGGTCGCGACAAGGAACAGCAATGAAGGTCATCGTCAGTCCCTTCCGTCAACAGACAACGCCAATACAGTCAAGTCGAGCTGAGCTCGCTCGGCAATTCTTCAACCTTAAGACTGGCCTACGAACAGCCGAACGAGCTCAGCTGACTGCTGCACCAACTGAAACATGTGAATGACCTCTTCAATTGTTCGAGAAAGTTGTCCATGTCTCTCTTTTTGCGTCCGACTGGTGCCCTTGTGGCTGCAGACTCATCCTGCTCGCCCGATTCGAGATCAACTTTGGAG